AATCTGTATTTGTTGATGGCGAATAAAATTTGCCCGAAGAATGCCTGAAACTATTTTGATAGTCTTGACAACATTAACGAAAGACAATGAGGGACGCCATTTTGTATAAACGCGCGAAAAGTCGCAAGATTCAAAAATTATTCCAGAATTGAACAAATTTTATTGTTTATCAACGAATGAAATGAAAAAAACTAGATTTGGCCAATTCTAATGCCACTTAAAAACATTATTTACGAATAAAAAGATGAAAGTTAACGAATTAAAAATCTGTATTTGTTGATGGCGAATAAAATTTGCCTGAAGAATGCCTGAAACTATTTTGATGGTCTTGACAACATTAACGAAAGATAATGAGGGACGCCATTTTGTATAAACGCGCGAAAAGTCGCAAGATTAAAAAATTATTCCAGAATTGAACAAATTTTATTGTTTATCAACGAATGAAATGAAAAAAACTAGATTTGGCCAATTCTAATGCCACTTAAAAACATTATTTACGAATACAAAACTGAAAGTTAACGAATCTAAAATTTTTATTTGTTGATGGGCGAATAAGATTAGTCCAATTCCGAGTTATTCCCGTGATCCTCGAAGTCGCCACGAGGAACGAAATCGGAATCGCTGTAACTGTGCCCTCCGCGCGAAGATATAATTTATCGCGTCGGTTTCGTTGGCTCGTTTTATCAAAACGTTCCATGCTTTTTTTTCTTCCCTTCCCTCGAGTTCCCTTGCCTTCTGGGTTTCTTTATCGTAGCCGAAGGTTGCCGTGACGTTGACCCGTTCGTTTCCTCCGTATCCTTCCTCCCATGGACTCCGCCGGAGGATCGAGACAAAGCGGTTAGCCGCCACTTTCCGTTACGTACGACCGAAATTATTCGAGATAACGATAAGCCCCCGGCTTACCTGACGACCGGAACGAGAAAGACTCTCGTTCATTAGCGGCTTACCTCTATTGACATTCAACGCGTGCTCGTTTTGACGTCGAGACCAGCGTGTGCGTTCGCATTCGCGAATAGTCGGCGTGCCGGTGTGTCGTGCATTTTTTACTCGGTAAAAGATAACCTAGAAGAGACCGTCGGTCGTCCTAGAGTGTTGTTTCTTTTTTTTCCCGGTGGGGTGCGTGTCGCGTTTAGCGGAGGACAAAACCGAGCGCCACCGGCGCGTGCAAATAAGTGCAGCTCACGTACCGACTGTTTTCTTTTCCTTTCTTCTCCTTTTGTAAAAAACGTGGGAGCACACCGGCGCGCCGGCCGCCGTTCCCCGTGCAATCGACGATTAAACTCGATTAAGTCGCGCCTGCCCGTTTGATGCATACGTGGAAAGAATTTCACGGTGAACGCGACTCCTGGCGTCCTCGAGGTAGGCGTGCGTCAGCAGGATGACTAAAATTGCAGAAGGAACTGAGACCGTGGATCGATTACGTTCTCGCGGTTACCGATAGAACCACGGCTATTTCGACTAGTCGGAAACGATCTTCCCGTATCTCTGACGACGTCTCGTTCGATTAGAGCTACCAGTAAGTATTATTCACTAGTGAGGGAACTCTGTGGTCCTTTTCGAACGATTTTCCACTTTCGAGTAGAAACTGTTCATATAAATTGCAATTTATACATTTGATGGACGCCATTTGTTTTGGTTAGTCGTTGAAAAATCGAATAATCGCAGATTCGATATATGCAACGAGATATCGATATCACCATATTTCGAGGCGGTTCGATTCGAGAACAGAGAAATTTCGTAACGTTTTCAAGGATGCATTTGGCTCGAGACAGGACAAGAACATTGTATAAATACTTAACGTTAGCAATAGTTCTTCGATCGTTATGTGTTGCCATTCGTAGAAACCATAAGATCGATTCATAATTGAGATTGTCGTAGAACATTGGCTGACCCCGTTTATACTTAACGCAAAAATCTGTGCTGTATTTTAGCTTTTTATTTGCTAAATTTCGCGTTCACCAAATCATATTCAAAATTAAAAAAAAATATCGCGAGGGTCTAGGGATATTTGAAAATGAAAATGAAAATTTTATGGTATAGGTTTTGTTAATGTCGAAGCGTAACCTTTATTAAAAATAAATGAAAATTAAAATTAAAATTAGTATAGTTGAGGTTTGTAAATCGAAGAAAATCCGCGGAAAATGTTGTGATATAGGTTATGTTGATGTCGAACGTGAGTTATTAAAAAAAAAATGAAAATGAAAATTAAGATGAATATAGTTGAGATTTGCAAATCGAAGAAAATCGGGAAAAACTTAAAATGAGTATAGTTGAGGTTTGTAAATCGAAGAAAATCGGGAAAAAATTTTATGATATAGGTTTTATCGATGTCGAAGCGTAACCCTTATTAAAAAAAAAATTAAAATGAAAATGATAATGATAGTAGAAATGAGTATAGTTGAGGTTTGTAAATCGAAGAAAATCGGCGGAAAATTTTATGGTATAGGTTTTGTCGATGTCGAATCGTAACCGATTTATTTTATTCGACTATAATGAAGGTTCTACTGTATTATTATAGTAGGGCTACCTTTTGGAGCGGTCGATAGAACGCGGGAACAGACGGACCGTCGAAACGCTGGAGAGTTAGCCAATGTTGCCAGTGAATTGACGGTACTTTTGCCGGTACATTGTTGTTACATAACAATTGGGTACAGCGGGAGGGGGCGCGGTTATATTCTCGCGGTTCCATACAAAGCTGCGAGAAAACTTGTGTTTCGTACCTCTGTGCGATCCTCGAATAAGTATCTCGCTCTGTAAACGATCTCCCGTGATTTTATTTCATTTTTATATATACTTTATGCAAAGCAGTAATTTTAATGCAAATTAGGTAAACAACGCAAAGAACAAAATGTTAAAAAAGTTTAAATACAAAGTTTTTAAATGATCTAATAGTAATGCAATATATAAACCAGATTTTTAAATTGAGATAATAATTTATGTTTTTCTAGTAAAGTAAAAATGAATTTCTTAAAAAAATACACCTTCTTTTGAGCTCTGAGGTTTTCGTTTCCAAGATGGGCGCGCCATCTTGCATAATCGACTCTCGTGGGCCGCGAATCGAGTTCGAGTACGAGATCGACATCGAGAACTATCATATAAATCCCGTAACGAGTGTTTTAATATTATTATGTAACGAATTGCCGTATCGTGCAATTGTAATTGATGGTCACGCGTGGACTGTGCGTATATAGGGTGCTCCTTTTAACGCTAGCATTTAGAACACGCGCTCCATTTATTTCGAACGTTTTTCAGTAACTAGCAGTCCATTTATTTCGAATTTAAAACTGAACATATAACATGCGTATATTCAATTGTAAAAGAACATGTATAAAAAAAATATACGCGTAATGCAAGGCCATTCAACGTGAAATGAAGGAGTAAAATAACAATACTTGCGTCATAAGTGCTCGAAGCGTTGTTCGGCGATATCGACTCAACACTGTAATCGTCGAACTCTTGATGGAATCAGTCCGGAAACGATAAGAAGCATACGGGGCTTCAGCTGCTCGGCGATTGCAGTGTTGCGTCGGTTCGATCGGCCACACCAATTTCGAAACACATTTTATGACGTAAGAACCGTTGTTTTGCTCCTACATCTCAAATAACCGCTGTTCTAACAATATATAGCCTCCTATTGTCCGTAAAAATATAATAACAAACTTAAACGTTATTTTTCCTGCGAATAAAATTTAAAAGAACAAGTAATTAAGGTGGTAAAAATACCCCACTCTGTATATTTACAAGTTCATTTATTGGCGAGCGATCGTCCCCTCCACTTACACGGACGCAAAGGACGCGCTTCGCATGCAGGTATCGAGGCGTTGCATCCATCGAGATTCCACTCTAGTCGCGTGCACATCAAAGTCAATGATAAACACGTTTCAGCGGCGTCGTTATTCCCCGCGACATTTCCTTTGTCGTTTCGTCGCCGTTCGTTAAACACAGAGATTTTCGAAGCTGGTAGCGTTCGTTTAATTTGCAACGCAGGGATTCCCCCCAACCGATGAATCTGGAATTGCAAAAATGGCGACAGAGTGAAACGAAATGTTTTATTTACCGACGAAGAAGGTTATCTTTTTATTAATTCCACGTAAAAACATAGAAAAAAATGGCGTTAAAACTAGGGAACATCGTCCCTGAAAACAGCGCCCCCTAGGATTAATTTCTCCGCGTCACACGAGCGTCGAAACGACGTTTCTATGTTCTTCCTTGTCTTGCAATTAAAAACAACGAAGACAACCGGCGTTCCTATGCCCATCTTGGTTCTTTTCAATTGTAAAGACAAGGAAAAATTATCGTTCCTAAAAACAGCGCCCCCTGGGATTAATCTCTCGCGTCACATTAGGTTAGAGTCGCACGAGCGTCGAAACGACGTGCGTTTCTATGTTTTCCTTGTCTTACAACTGAAAACAACGAAGACAATCGGTGTTTCGCGTTTCTATGTCTGTCTTCGTTGTTTTCAATTGCAAGTACATCGAAAAACATACGAACGCGCGTCGTATTAACTCTCGTGCGCCCTAACCTAACCCGGTCTTAGTCCTCGCGAGCCTAAAGAGTTATTCTGGTGTTGCGTGTCCGGTGGACCACCCTGTAGCGCGTGTCCCCGGTTAAATTACCCCGGTTTCGAGAAAGAGAGAAACGTCGGAGATGAACGCGGTGCATATCGGTCGGCGTCTTTGCTAGGCGCCACCACTTCCGGCGCGGCAGACGCGCCTCGGAACTCGAGGTAGCGAAAGAGGCAGAAGGAAAGTCGGGAAAGAAGCGTGTGTACATTAAAGACCAAGTTTACGACGACGCTCGAGCCTCTCTCAGTGGCCAGTTTCGTGGCGACGTATAAAACTTCGACGATGGCGCCTTTATCGTGGTCGACGTTGGGGGACGCGGGCGGGAAAGTGTTTCGATGGTCGCGGTTCCGGTTCCGCGAATCCCGGCGATTACCGGCGAAATTGATACGACGATCGAGAAACGCAGACACTAAGTCCGTATTCTTTGCACGAAAGGCCTAGTCCGGGCAGTGCTGGCGACAACGGTGTCCAAGGAGTACGCGGTAAAGGTCTGCCGCACGTGATCTACTGCCGGCTTTGGCGCTGGCCGGATCTGCAGTCGCATCACGAGCTGAGGGCGATCGAGCACTGCGAATACGCGTTTACGCAGAAACGGGACGAAGTCTGCGTCAATCCGTACCATTATCAACGAATACAGACGCCAGGTAGGTGAACTTGAGTCTTTACATCTTTCGTGTAACAGATATAGATCATTCGTCTTTGCCTCGAAGACCTCTGTTCACCTGTTCGACCCTTCAGATTCTCTAAAGTTATCAAAGACTCTTTGACACCAGCTAAAGGAATTGTCATCAGATTGTCCTGCCGTTATTAACGGTGAGAAATATATTATGAGAAAGCATCGTATTGCATGTGTGGCGTTACCTCTGGCACTCGCCACCAGAGGGCTCCGCTCTCTCGCAAGCGTTCGACTGATCCTTTCGTTCCTCAACCGACTATCCAATATCCTGGTGTAGGGATGTTCGATTTTTGCAAGAATGAAGTCTTGAATCAATTTTTTATTGAAGCGACTAGAATCGAATAAAATTCCGAATAGAATAAAATTCCGATTATCCGGCATATTTGGGACTGGAGCAATGCCGGAGAATCAGACTTATATCTAAGTAGGTACATATGATTGATAAAAATGAGGAAATGAAATTACAGAAACATTTCTGGACACACGGTATAATTTCGGTAAAGAATTTTTTTCTCGAAAATGCGTGGGAATTCGGGGGTATGTCTACCCGCGAAAAATGATTGTAATTGACTCCTGCAACCAAAAATAATTTTTTCAAAACAATTTGAAATTTTTCAATTTCGTCAAAAAATTTCTCCACCTACTCGAATTTTTTTCTCGAAAGTATGCAGGAATTCGGGGATATATGTATTCACAAAAAATGATTGTAATTGACCCCCGCAACCAAAAATAATTTTTTCAAAGCAATTTGAAATTTTTCAATTTCGCCGATTCGTAATTAAAAATTTTCTGTAAAATCGATTCTGAATCGAACATTCTTATTAGGAATCCTTACTCATGAGTCCCAATAACAGACCCAGAACGAAGTACTCCCCCTCTCCTTTCATTTTCTCCCTCCATCTGCCAAGCGTGCCACACATGTAATCCTAAAATAAAAATAAAAATCTTCGTCTTACGAGCCTATCAGCCAACGCGAACCGATCGTTCGTCGTACCCAAAGCTACCAAAAGATATTTTTGTTTATAGTTAAATAATTTGGGGAACGAAAGGGTTAACTGGAATCGCGCCATTAATCGGCCGTAACGTTATTACCGGCGTAAGCAAAGCGACCGCGGCCCGATCGCGTGACTTATTAGCGCACGAAACTTTGCAGTTTTGCCAGCCATTCTCGTGCCGCGGCACAACCTAGCCGGGGACGAGCCCGTCCTGTACAACACCTCCCTCGAGGAGCTCAGCGTCAGCGTGCCGGAGAACACGAGCTTCCACGCGACGCTGAACCATCAGCACCATAATCAACAGGGTATACCGCAATCCCCGCAGCAACAGCAGCAACAACAGCAACAACAGCAGCCGAACAATCCCTACCAAGGAATGCAGGTTAGTATCGAATCTATTGTTCCCATTTCTCCATCAAAAGGTGGTCGAAACACGGTGTTCTCTCCTTCTGTATATTTATTTTCCCCCAGAGTATGCAGGCAACGAGTCCCGCGAGCGTGGGGAGCCTAGGAAGCGTTCAGGGTTCACCGCATCCGGCCCCCGGATCCATGGATCCACCGGCGGACACCCCGCCACCTGGATACATAAGCGAGGATGGCGATAACATGGACCACAATGACAACATGTCTTTGTCCCGTTTGTCTCCCAGTCCAGTGGACGCACAACCGGTTATGTATTGCGAGCCTGCCTTCTGGTGAGCGGAGTCTGCGTGAATCATCATAGCTAACTGTCGAAAACGCGATCGAACGCGTTTACTGGTATATTCAATCAACGCTTTTTTCTTTCTTTCGCCTGCAAGGTGTTCGATAAGCTACTACGAGCTGAACACGAGAGTGGGCGAGACCTTCCACGCGTCCCAGCCGAGCATCACGGTGGACGGGTTCACCGATCCCAGCAACTCCGAACGCTTCTGTCTGGGCCTGTTGTCGAACGTCAACCGCAACACCGTGGTCGAGCAGACGAGACGACACATTGGAAAGGGAGCTAGACTTTATTACATTGGCGGCGAGGTGTTCGCCGAGTGCCTATCCGACTCGAGCATATTCGTGCAAAGTCCTAATTGCAATCAGCGTTACGGCTGGCATCCGGCTACTGTTTGCAAAATACCGCCCGGTAAGCGTCGTATTGTCACTAGCAGCTGAGAATGAACCTTCCAAAGGAACAAAATCGCTTCTATGTCAATCCTCTCTTGGAGGATGATAGATCACAGGTTGTTAAAATAGTAGGCGTCGTTAATTTGTAATTGTAACCCAGATAGGTAATCTCTGAGATTCTGCAAAAGTAGATTAAAATCGAAGGTGAACGATTTTAGTTCTTATCTTGTGCAAGGTACACTCGGTTCAAATGTTTTCATTATTGTTATCGCACGCAAGCTATTGGGTAGTGTGGACAGAATGATGTCAAATGAGTGTACACCTCCGGAGGCTTCCTTCTTAGCTGCAAATGATAACAAAGAACATTACTCAATCGTTAACCGTTTGATGAAACCTGACGAGTATATTGACATAGATTTTGTTTAGAAGATTCGTATGCAGGGGATGAAGGCACCTTTTCAAGTTAGAGCTGTAAAGCTATGAAATACTCGGGGACAAATAGAGGCGATAAGTTCTTTATATTTGATTTAACCTTGTGCTTAATTACCCTTGAAATCGTAATACCGGTGTAACAATTTTATTGCAGGCAGATAAACCTCATAATAAAGAAACCGTAAGCGTTCTCTTATGCGAGATTACTGACTCATTATTGACAATAGCGAGTTCTCGGTATTCCAAGTAATAGAATAATTTCAATATACGATCCATAAAAAAAAAAAGTCTAAGTGTATGATGCACAATAGATAATAGCTTGGAATTTTCATTGAACGACTTCTGATACAGAATGTTACAGGGGTTTATATGACCTTTCTTGCACGTACTCTCTTAAACTTATGATTAATTTGTAACGTAGACACGGTGCAACAAAATAACGTACAATGAAATCTACACCGACAACTCATTATTGTTAATTCTAACCTTAAAGCAATTTAAGGTAGGAAACAATTCCCAGTAAATTAGTAACCAATTAAGTGGAATGATTTACAAATTCATTTGTCAAGCTCTACAGATGGCAGCAAAAGTACACACTTATCTTAATTCCCAGTAATTCTCAAAACAATGCTTGTTTATGAGTATTTCATTATATGTATTAAAGTGTCTCTATTTGTTTTCTATTCGACCACATAATTTGTCAGTGTCCAATTTCAAAGGGGATTGAAACATTTGGATACAATTTTCAACAGTCGAAGCTCTGATCATTTATGGTGTCTGATGATGCAACGAACAACGAGCTTCCACTGTCCTGTTAAAAATTCAATCTGAATGTTTCAGGCCCCTTTGAAATTGGAAACTGACAAATTGTGTGGTCGAATAAGAAACAAATAGAGACGCTTCTTTGATAAGTATTCCTTACAAATAAAATGAAACTAATAAACAAGTACTGTTTTGAGAGTTACTGGGAATTAAGATACACTTGCTGCTATCTATATGCATTTATCTAATTTACTGAGAATTGATTCCTATCTTAAATTGGTTTAAGGTTAAAATTTCAAAGGGGGCTGAAACATTCAGATACAATTTCTTAACGCAACAGTCGAAGCTGATCGTTTACGATGGCCGAAGATGCAACGAACGACGAGCTTCGACTGGGTTTCGATTCACGGCCCGGATCATTCGTAACGCGCTATTCTCAGAACCGTATTTCTTCTTTCACGTCGCGCAGGTTGCAATTTGAAGATCTTCAACAACCAGGAGTTCGCTGCGTTGCTGTCGCAGTCGGTGTCGCAGGGATTCGAGGCGGTGTATCAGCTAACTCGGATGTGCACCATCAGAATGAGCTTCGTGAAGGGCTGGGGGGCGGCGTATCGACGACAAACCGTTACGTCGACGCCATGTTGGATCGAGCTGCATTTAAACGGGCCGCTGCAATGGCTCGATAGGGTGCTCACGCAGATGGGTTCGCCGCGTTTACCCTGTTCCTCGATGTCATAAGATTGTATACTTTACCACGTGGTGGATACGAGAAAGAAAGAACGATTCCTGTGTTATCGTCGTCGATTGGATTCCCTCAACGCGAATTAATATCGCTATCGTTCGGATCCCTCTGCATTCGCCGAGCCTGCCAGCGACCAGCAAGAAATGGAAAAGGATCGTTGTTCGTTTCTATAGTGTATGCACGGAACACGAAACGAGATTTGCGTTCGAAAGTGCCAGGAAAGCGGTTCGAAGAGCAATCGGCTGTGGGAACATCCTCTCGAGTCCATGGACGTTTTCTACGTTTCGAGAAAGATGGACGGTGTGGGCAAAAAAGAGTGCGGACGAGAGATCGTAATAACGATGCAAACCGGTTCGCAACGAGTCACGCGTTTGGGTTAACTACGAGAAAACATTCGACGAAGCAAGTAGACATTGTTAACACATTTAACCGCACTCCCAATGTGGCTAGTGCTAGTGATCCAGGGTTACAAATCCGATTTTAACCGAATATTAAGAGGGCGAATAAACAAGTGTTTTATTACATATATGTATATGTATGTATGTACACGAACAACGCTCGTATGTGTGTGCGTATACATATGTGATACGCTAAGAAAAGCTCAGCCTTCGCATATTTTTATCGCTTGTTAAGCAAACGCACTTCAGTCGTACAGTATACGTCAGCTCTTACAAGGTAATACATAACATTATGTATACACTCACATTATAGTCTGCCGAAGAGAATTTCTATAAAAAAAAATGGACAAACGTATATGTCCGTTGCAAAGTTTCTAAATGGCACTGGTCTATTCGGAGTTTTTTGTCAATGTTTCTCCTACGAATAGGATAACTAAAGTAAATATATAAAGTCTATTTCTCTTATATGAATAATTATAAGAATGGATTACAGTGTTCAATATGTACGTAACTACTTACACATGTTTCGTTAATTATAATTCTCGGATGGACCAGCAAAAGCGTTCAAATGTCCTCAGAAATGATCGCAATCGGATACGGATAGTTATGTTTCCCGTGTATTTGGAAGTTTTAAGAATGGTCAAATGACGCGAGATCGATCACCCGGTATGCATGTATACTGACAATGTTTAATCAGAAATCATTTTGGAAACGGAAGCCGAAAAAAAAAAAAAATATGTTGTATTAAGGTGTCTTATCTTGGATAACTGATATTCTTATTAAGAGTATAAGCGCTATATTTCTAAACATTCGTAGAAGTACTAAGCGCACGAAGTCTGTGGTAGACAGAAATACCTATTTACTTGATATTGCATGAGGGAAGCCGATTAAAAGTGCAGAAAAAAAAAAATTATAGACGTATATCTGTCGAGTGTCCGAAAAAAATTTATGCAACGCGTAAGCAAACATTGCACATTTTGCTGTTGATGTTAACGTAGCGAACCACTCGTTAGTTGAGATGCATTGAAAAAAGTATTTGGTTCGTTGTATAAAAACCGTAAAACATCGTTTCGTGTCGGGAATAATATGTTTTGTACGAGAGAGAAAAAAAAGGAAAAAAAAATACAAGTAAAATGAAACGATCGATTTGATTGCGTGAACTTTGACAAATGTACCATTCTTCCGCGAGAATAAGGCACAGCGTGTTTACACCTACACTCCTGTTGCAGTCCGTTGACTCACTGGTATTGGCCGAGAACGGTGACGAAGATCGGTGCCAGCCAATCAGCGGACTCTTGCTGCTGATTGGCCGTCACCGAGCCTCGTCACCGTTCTCGACCAATACCTGCGAGGGATGTAAACACGCTGTGCCTTCTTCTCGTGGAAGAACGATAGTTGAATCGTCTCATAAAAAAAAAAGTTTGTACAGAAATTATTCGAAGAAAAATACGTGAAAAAAAAAAGAAATGAGAAGAAAAAAACGCGAATAGTTTCCGAGCAATATAAAGGTTCGATATAATGGAAAATTCGTAAAATTAAGCAACTTAAAGATAGGGGTCGAAGAAGAATAATGGTCTGGCCTTGAATATGAGATGCTTTTAGATGCATCGAGCGTAATTGATTTAAAATTTCTTTGGAAATTGTTTGTGGATCGAGCGTATCAGAAGTTTCTATTTTATTGCAGATTTTATATGACATATTTCATATTCGAGACGAACCGAAAAGAGAAGAAAAAAATACTGTTTTTAATAACTGAAAACGTCTTTCACGTAGAACGTACGAAAACGAGATAACGAAGTTACGTGTTTTATTATATTACGAAGATATATATGTTAGTACCGATGAAAACGGGGACAGTCTTTGCACCAAGTGCATGGATTCAGTTATCTTTTCCTTTTTTTTTTTTTTTTTTTAAAAAAAAACAAATAAAATTTTAAAGATAACATAATACGACTTCTATGGAGTCTTTACGTACGATGGGGGCCAATCGCACGCACAGAATGCGAGATTCGATCTCGATAAGAACGTAAAACGTTTCAGAGAACCGGTTCCTCTTTATACAGGGTGTTCGGCCACACCTGGGAAAAATTTTAATGAGGGATTCTAGGGGCCAAAATAAGACGAAAATCAAGAATACCAATTTGTCGATCGAGGCTTCGTTAAAAAGTTATTAACAGTTGAACCTGTAATAGTTACGCAGGTTGCACATCTACGGGTGCAACTGTTAATAACTTTTTAAGGAAGCCTCCATCAACAAATTGGTATTCTTGATTTTCGTCTTATTTTGGTCCCTAGAATCTCCTACTAAATTTTTTTTTAACCGGGGGTGGCCAAACACCCTGTGTATATATATATATATATACATATTCTTTTTCTTATGTCAGTATCGTTTATAAAGTTTCATTTTTATGGCGTTTGTAATTAGTTCTTAAAATACGAAACAATTGGAAGTAAAAACAGTGTACGTCGCCCGAGCGCGAATCGATTTAGTTACTAATATTTATAGATCCGTGTAAATTAGGCAAAGCAACGGGAAAACAATCGAGTGTTTTCGTTAAATAATTAAGCTTAAGATAAAACGAGAGTCGTCATTAGTTATCGTGGAGACAAGATCTATTTTTTTAACATCGTCTTAATCCTTTCGACGAAGGGGAAGGATCGCGCTACGTTTTTTGATCGCTTTTAAGAAAAAAAAAAAAACAAAGACGAGTGATTCGATCGATTGCAGACAACATTTGTCAGAAATCCTTCAAACGTGTTTTTACATGTAAATGGTGCAGCTGAACACGCCTTTTATTATTCCGTTCTTCTCGAGGTTTACGACCATACGTTTTTTACGCGTTTAGAGTCAAGGGACAAAGCGTACAACAGCGACGACGACGACGATTCCGTGAACTTGCCAGTCACATCGATTATGCGTCGCGTTACCTATTAAATCCGATCATACGTCGAAGGGGGGGGGACGATTTTAGCTCGGACAGTAACGATGGGAGTGTGTGTGTGATAGAGAAAAAAAGCACCGAAATTTAAAGAAACGATAACGATATTTTATTGACTCCTCGAATAGTTTAACCGTGTAGCCCTAGGGAGCGCGTCGATCTTTCACGAGGATAATTTATTTTCTTTCGTTCGAGAGTCGTACGTTTACGTTTCAGATGTGATAAATTCAAGATTGAAGAAAGAGATCGCGCTTCGACAAGCCTCGTGAAAGTCGAACGCGATATCGTCGGGCAGCTCGAACAATAAATAGTACAATCGACAAAAATTCTAATCTCCAAAGTGTTGAATGCGTGGCTCCTTTCAAAGCCGAATTGTACTGTCCGATTGTCGTACGGTCGACAACCATGTGCCTCCCTGCCAGACTGCCACTAATTAAGGAACTAATTAAGGAGACACGAGAACAGGGGAAACCGAACAAGTCGCTTTTGTATCTCTCCTTTTCTGATTCAGTTTCTATCTCGCACATAGAGTTGTTTACAATTGTACACGGGAGCAAAAGCCGCGCCACTCGACATTCCGCGTGGGAATTTTGTTTTATCGAGGCAAATCTGGTGATCCAACGTCCTCTTTCGTTAGCTCTCCCCTCCCCTCCCCAACGCTTGATCGTTTTACGTTACCATAAGAACACACATTCTTTTCCATCGGTCAGAAGAGACAAAAAAAAACCCATCTGGAAAACGCGTCTCGTTTGCCAAAGTATTTTTTAAGCGTAGCATTTGCCAAAGTTTCTTTTAAGTACAAGAGAGTATCGATTAGTTGCGGTAAGCTATCCGAAACCACAGAACGAGCATCGATTCGTTAAAATTCACAGCGTTGTTGCTTCTTTTGGACATTCGTAGCTGTTACCATTGTTGATCGTATAGTTAATATTGTCGTTATGTTTCTTCAATTATTATTTTATTTTATTTTATTTTAGGTACCTTTTTAGCGTCTAAACCTGTCGAATCGAGCGGTCCGACGATCACGAATTTTTATTCTATAGCTGCTTGTACATACATATATGTATGTATAAATGTGTATATATATGTATATGTATGTATATGTTTTGTGCGCGAATAGCCTTATGCACACGAAGGGAAGAATCGACTAAAGGATAACTTCTAGAACTCCGAATATTTTTTTACACACAGAAAGGAAACGCGAAAATTCATTTACGTAAAAGGTGTATTCGACGAACGTTTGATCTCGTCGGTGGTTCCCTGGTGTGGATGAGACGTTTCGCGAGACGACGAGACGAAATCGAGAGCTTGAAGGAACGAGTGTGGGAGAATTATAGACGAGACGTTACGACAAGAGATATCGAGTGTGAGACTGTATAATAATTATAAATAAATGTATACGTTAAGTCTAATAAAAATGATTCTACCGATCTTTGTCGCTACATCGGTGCGACGATATACAGGGCGTCCGGATAACCGTGGGAAAAATTTTAATTGGAGATTCTAGAGGCTAAAGTAGGACGAAAATCAAGAATATCAATTTGTTGATGGAGGCTTTGTTAAAAAGTTATTAACAAAATTAAATTGAAAAATTTCAAATCGTTCTGGAAAAATTATTTTCGGTTGCAGGGGTCAATTACAATCATTTTTGGTCATTAGACATACCCTCGAATTCTTCCCCACTTTCGAGAAAAAAATTCGAGTAGGTGTTCCAATTGTTTGATGGAATTGAAAAATTTTAAGTTGTTTTGATAAAATTATTTTTGGTTGTGGGGATCAATTACAATTATTTTTTGTCAATATACATATCCTCGAAACCCTACACACTTTCGAGAAAAAAATTCTTTACTGAAAGTACAATGTGTGGATAGAAATGTTTAAATGGTCCAATTTTCAAACAGCCATAACTCCTATAATAGTGAATATGTTTTAATGAAACTTTTTTCTGAAGTAGAGCTCATGGGTACCTACAAAAAAGTATTAGACAACTTTTCTATACGGTGTCAAATACAATTACTAAAAATCAAAAACGAATTTTTAAGAAATCCGACATGGGGGAAGTCCCTAAATTCTTCGACGGGAAAAAAAAATTTCAAATCGTTCTGAAAAAATTATTTTCGGTTACAGGGGTTAATTACAAGTATTTTGAGTGAATACACATACCCCTGAAATCCTACCCACTTTCGAGAAAAAAATTCGAGTCGGTACTGAAATTTTTAGACGAAATTAAAAAATTTCAAATCGTAGTAAAAAATTTATATTTAGTTACAGGGGTCAATTACAAACATTTTTGGTTAATGGACATATCCCGAAATCCTACACACTTTCGAGAAAAAAATTCTTTCCCGAAAATCTAATGTGATGCTTTCCTGAAATTTCATGTGAATCTTTAAAATGTCATAACTCCTGAACGGATTGGAGGATTTTAATGTTTCAAAATGCAAACAACGCGTATTTTAGTAAAGAATATATAGAAATTCAGAAAATAATCGAAAAGTTGATCCTTGATCTTCCAAAGTGAGGAAAACCCCATAAAAATGATCCAATTTTCAAACAGCCATAACTCTTACAATAGGGAATGGATTTCAATGAAACTTTTTTCGGAAGTAGAGCTCGTAGGTACCTACAAAATAGTATTAGATAACTTTTCAATAGGGCATCAAACAAAATGACTAAAAATCAAAAACGAATTTTTAAGAAAAACCGACATGGGGGAAGTCCCTAAATTCTTCGACGGAAAAAAAAAAAATGTCAAATCGTTCTAAAAAAATTATTTTCGGATGCAGGGGTCAATTACAATGATATTTGGTGAATAGACATACCCCCAAAATTCTACCCCCTTTCGAGAAAAAAATTTGAGAAGATTGTAAAATTTGTCGACAAAATTAAAAAGTTTCAAATCGTCCTGGAAAAATTATTTTCGGTTACAGGGGTTAATTATAAGCATTTTTAGTCATTGGACATACCCTCGAAATCTTACCCACTTTCGAGAAAAAAATTCAGTAAGGGCGGAACTTTAAACGTTAATAACTTTTTAACGAAGCCTCCATCCATAAATTAGTATTCTTGATTTTCGTCTTATTTTGGCCCCTAGAATCTCCCATTAAATTTTTCCCATGTGTAGCCGAACACCCTATATATTACGTTGTCGAGGATTATAACTACACGACATGATTTATACACGTTTATAACAGACATTTTATTACGAATTATCGTGCTCTGAGAAATGTATGACGTGTACTGTCTACGTTATTCTAGATAAACCC